ACTACATCTTGAACAGACTTGACAACACATTGTATAACGTCTATAGTCCTATCAAAATGGCAAAGGAACTTTGGAAGTCTTTGGAGAAAAAGTACAAAACAGAAGATGATGGTTCAAAGAAATTTGTGGTTGGCAAATTCCTAGACTTTGTGATGGTTGATTCTAAGACAGTGATTAGCCAAGTTCAAGATCTCCAACTCATTCTGCATGACATTCACGCAGAAGGCATGCCTCTCAGTGAATTCTTCCAAGTTGCAGCCTTAATTGAGAAATTACCACAAGGCTGGAAGGAATTCAAGAACTACCTCAAACACAAGCACAAAGAAATGTCTTTGGAGGAATTAATTGTGCGTTTGAGGATTGGGAAGGACAACCGCAGTTTGAGAAGCAGACTGGTAAGCATCCAATGGAGTCTAAGGAAAATGTGGTGGAACATGCTCCAAAAGCCAAGAAAACGAAAGTTCCTTTCAAGGCTCTAAAGGAGGAGAAACTAAAAAGTATAAGTTTAATGGAAAATGTTACATTTGTGACAAAGAGGGACATCGGGCCAAAGATTGTCGTAACAAACGCAAAGGCAAAAGAAGAACAAGCAAGAAGCCTGCTCAAGCCAATATGACCGAAGTGGATAAAATTTCCAGTGGTGTAGATGACATAAATTTTTCTACAGTTGTTTCTGAGGTAACCCTTGTCGGAAATCCTAAAGAATGGTGGGTGGACACTGGTGCTACTTGCTATATCTGTGCTGACAAAAAGATGTTCATATCTTATTTTGTGGTATACAACGGTGAACAACTTTTCATGGGCAACTCCTCAGCTTCTAAAGTTGAAGGACAAGGAAAGATAATTCTGAAGATGACATCTAGAAAGGAACTCACTCTCAACAATGAGTTGTATGTCCTGGACATTCGCAAGAACCTCGTTTCCAGATCTTTATTGAGTAAAAATGGGTTTAGGCTAGTTGTTGAAAGTGACAAATTTGTACTTACCAAAAACGAGGATGTATGTAAGAAAAGGTTACATGTCATGTCTAATTCACCCAAAAAAAAGGTTACATGTCTGATGGCCTTTTCAAAATGAATGTAATGACTATTGTTCCCTCTATTATTAATAAAAATACATCTTCTTCTTATGTGCTTGAGTCTTCGAATTTATGGTATGGTAGACTTGGACATATTAATTATGGATCTTTGCATAAATTAATTAATATGAAATATTTACCTAAATTTGACATTGATTTAAATCATAAATGTGAAATTTGTGTTGAGGCAAAATTATCCAAAACCCCTTTTCATTCAATTGAAATAAGTACAGAACCAATTGAATTAATTCATAGTGACATTTGTGATTTTAAATCAATTCAAACTAGAGGTGGAAAAAAATATTTTCTCACTTTTATAGATGACTATACTAGATATAGTTATGTTTATTTAATTCAAACCAAAGATAAAGCTTTGGAAACTTTTATTCAATATAAGAATGAAGTTGAACTTCAACTTGGTAAGAAAATTGAAAAACTTAGAAGTGATTGGGGTAGTGAATATGAATAATCTTTTGGTGAGTTTTGTAAAGAACATAGAATAATTCATCAAACCATCGCTCCTTACTCACCTCAGCAAAATGGAATTGCTGAAAGAAAAAAATAGGACTTTAAAAAAAATGATGAATGTCATGTTAATAAATTTTGTATTATCTCAAAACTTGTGGGGGGAAGCAATACTTTCTGCTAATTATATTCTAAATAAAGTACCCCGAAAGAAAGTGAATCAAACACCTTATGAATTGTGGCATGGGAGAGTATCATCCTACAATTACTTAAAAGTGTGAGGGGTGTTTGGCTAAAGTGGCTATTCCTAGTCCTAAAAAGACTAAGATATGTCCTAAAACTGTTGATTGCATTTTCATTGGTTATGCCATGAATAGTAGTGCATATCGATTTTTGATTCATAAGTCAGAACATTCTGAAATGCGTGTAAATACTATTATTGAATCTTGGAATGCGTCTTTCTTTGAACATGTGTTTCCAAAGAAAACTAGACAAGAGACTAGTACTAATAAAAGATCTTTTGATGCTATTACTAATTATTATCAAGAACATGATCAAGAACATAGATCAAAGAGGAAGAGAAACCTAGGTGTAGTAAACGTGCTAGAACCTCAAAATCTTTTAGTCCAAATTTTCTAACATTTTTGTCAGAAAATGTGCCTTTAACTTTTAAAGAAGTTATGTCCAGTCATGAGACTCCTTTATAGAAAGAAGTTGTAAACAGCAAAGTTGAATCCATCATGCAAAATCACACTTCGGAATTGGTGGATTTGCCACTAGGTTGTAAACCCCTTGGGTACAAGTGGATTTTCAAAAGAAAAATGAAAGTGGATGGATCAATTGACAAATACAAGGCAAGACTTGTAGTCAAAGGATATAGACAAAAAGAAGGTCATGATTACTTTGACACATACTCACCAGTTACTAGAATAACATCCATTAGAATGCTAATTGTCATTGCATCTTTGTACAATCTAGAAATTTATCAAATGGATGTTAAAACCGCTTTCTTAAATGGTGAGTTAGATGAAGAAATTTACATGGAACAACCAAACGGATTTTCTGTTCTAGGAAAAGAAAAGAAAGTGTTTAAATTGGCTAAATCATTATATGGTTTAAAACAAGCGCCAAAGCAATGGCATGAAAAATTTGACAAAGCAATGATGTTAAATGGATTCAAAATTAATGAATGTGACAAATGTGCTTATATTAAAAGCACAAACAAAGGTTATATTATAGTATGTCTTTATGTGGATGATATGCTCATCATAGATAGTAATAATGATATGATTAAAACTACCAAGAAAATGTTGAATAAACATTTTGACATGAAGGACATGGGAATTACTGATGTAATTCTTGGTATGAAAATTACCAAAACAACAGAAGGATATGCTTTGTCACAATCTCATTACATTGAGAAAATACTTGATAAATTCAGCGAAGATGATGATCATCTTGCTAGAACACCTGTGGATGTTAATTTGTTTCTTTGTAAGGATGTACAGGAGATTATTTCTCAACTAGAGTATGCCTAAATTATTGGAAGCTTAATGTACTTGATGATTTGTACTCGCCTGGATATAGCTTATGCAGTAAGAAAATTAAGTAGATATACGAGTAATCCGGAAGTAGAACACTGGAAAGCAATTATAAGGGTTCTAAGATATCTCCGATTTACTCATAACATTGGGCTTAATTATACTAGATATCCAGCAGTACTTGAAGAACACTGTGATGTAAACTGGATATCGAATACTAGAGATTCAAAATCCATTAGTGGGTATGTCTTTACTCTTGGTGGGGCGACTGTCTCTTGGAAATCTTCCAAACAAACTAGCATTGCTAGGTCTACTATGGAATTAGAATTCATAGCTTTAGATAAAGCTGGGAAAGAAACAGAATGGCTTCGCCACTTCCTTGAAGATATTCCAAGGACCCAAACCCGTGCTCTGATACCACTCTGTCAGGACCCAAACTCTCCCCTATAGGTTTAGCGTCATGACCGGCCAGTAATCATAGATCACCTATGGCCACCATACAAAAGAATCTCTTAATATAAAGTACGGGGCTTAGTGGAAGTTTAAAATGACATAGAAATTATCCATTGAGCTGTGTGTATATGTAGAGAACTAGTATAATAAGTAAAGTTTTGTTCCAAAAGTACATCCATCGTAGTCATACAAAAATTCTTGTCTTACAAAATACAACCCCAACTATATACAAATACAAAATCACTGAAACACACAAAAAGGCGTTCAACTAGCATGGCTCCACCCGAGCCTGGTTACTTCACTTAGAAGCTCCACAAAAGGCTGACTTGGGTAGACTCGAGGCTTTCCTAACTCTGTTGTTCGGCTTGCCTACCTACATATATAGATAAATAAATAGTGAGCTAGAGCCCAATGAATAATAACAGAATAAAGAGGTTATATGAATGAAGTTTGATAACATTACAACGTCAATCTTAACATCGAAAACCATTTCAAACATGCATGTAGTACATTCGATAGAGTAACAATGTTGTTATAACAATAGGACCTCAAGGGTCAAACAATATATCATAACCAATGCGACCATTAAGGTCTAACAACAAAGATTTCTATATTGCAATTATCTAATGGGCCACGATATTGTTTCCCTCGGGCGAGGGTCAATGGGCCATGGTAATAATCTCCCCCAGGCAAGGATCAATGGGCCATGGTATTAATCTCCCCCAGGCAAGGGTCAATGTTCAATGGATGCCATGAATACATTTCGAAAATGGACTTCATTCATCATCACAAAATAACTTTTTGATAAACCATGCAATCAGTCACATATTGATTCCAAAGTAATGACAATTTCGAAAATAATATTACTTGAACATATCTTTATAAAGTTATTACTCACAGTAGTTTGAGTTGTCACTAAGCCTCGGTCGTCCACCTAAGACTTGAATTTAAGTGTTGTATAGGTTAATTCTTCAATTCTCCACAATTTCCTTCATAATTCTTCTTCTTTCTCTCCAAGTGTTGAGTTAATTCCCTTCTCTCACAAAATCTCAGCCAAGTGAGTGTGTATATCAGCTCAAAAGCTTATTTAGAGCTATTTATATGGTGTGATTAGCTTAGTCTAATCAAGTATGATTAAGGTTAAGTAATTTAGGCTCAATCCTAATTAATTCAATCAGTTAAATCTAATTATTTTGATCCAAATAAATTTTCAATTAAAGTTGCCATAAAATTCTAAATATTCAAATTAGTCTATTACACTATTCAATTTCAGTTTCTGAAGCCGTCTAGGTTCTCAATTTCTGTCTCTATGTGGTCAATTCGAACAGATATTCCATGTAATAACATATAATTACGAAATTAAACATGTAATCACATAAGTAAACACACAACCATGCAATTAGGCTTGTTAAAATAACATAATATACTAGTTCGGAGGTCGGGGTCGTCACAGTCTCTTCCTCTTAGAAAGTTTGGTTCTCCAAACTTAAGTTACCTTTAGATGGAAACAAATGCGAATACCGTTGCCGTATCTCTTCCTCTTTCTCCCAAGTGGCTTCCTTCCCATAATGTTCATTCCATCCAATTTTCACTATAGGGATAGTTTTGTTTCTCAATTGCTTCACTTGCCGATCAATGATTTGCACGGGCCATTCTTCATACATCATATTCTCGTCTAAAGCAATCCGATGGTGATCAATCACATGGAACGGGTATCTAAGATATCCACGAAGCATGGATACATGGAAGACATTATGCACTTGTTCCATTCTCGGTGGCAAGGTAATACGATAAGCTACATGACCCAACCTTTCAAGGATCTGAAATGGTCCAATGTAACGAGGGGTTAGTTTTCCCTTCTTGCCAAACCTCATATGTCCTTTCATCGGTGTTACTTTAACAAACACGTGATCTCCCACTTCATACTCTAAATCACTCCTTCGTTGATCTGTATAACTTTTCTGTCGGCTCTGTGCAGTTTTGAGTCTTTGTTGGATGATTTTGATTTTCTCTATCGTTTCTTGCACAAGTTCGGTGCCATAGATAGCTATATCACCAACCTCTGTCCAACAAATTGGTGACCTACATTTTCTGCCATATAGCGCCTCATATGGTGCCATGCCAATGCTAGTGTGGAAACTATTATTATAAGCAAACTCAACCAATGGTAAATAAGTTTCCCAACTACCCTGAAAATCCAAAACACACATACGAAACATGTCTTCTAAGGTCTGAATGGTCCTCTCGGTTTGCCCATCGGTTTGTGGATGAAATGTTGTTCTAAATCTCAATTATGTTCCCATTGCCTCCTGCAGACTATGCCAAAATCTATAAACAAATTTAGGATCCCTATTTGATACAATAAACACTGGAACCCCATGCAATCGAATAATCTCGTCAATGTAGATAGTAGCAAGTCTATATGCAGTAAAAGAAGTCTTTACGATAAGAAAATGAGCAGATTTAGTCAGTCTATCAACTATAACCTAGATAGAATCCATACCTTTAGGCATTCGAGGCAGGCCAACAACAAAATCCATGGTGATATGCTCTTGTTTCCATTCCGGAATAGGAAGAGATTGAAGTAAACCTACTGGTTTCTGATGTTCCGTTTTTACCTGTTGGCATTGTAAGCATTTAGAGTTGAAGTCGGAAATCTCTCTTTTCATGATGGGCCACCAATACACTAACTTCAAATCTTGATACATTTTGGTGTTCCCTGGGTGCATAACAAACACTGAATTATGGACTTCCTCCAAAATTTTCCTTTTCAAATCCGTATCATTTGGAATACACAATCTCCCTTAAAATTTTAATACGGAATCTTCAATTATGAACCCCGGTTTAGCCTTGGTGTCAAGTTCGTCACAAATCTTCTTCAAAAACTCATCATTCATTTGCTTTCGTTTAATCTCCTCAATAATGGCAGGTTGGGCAGACATCGCGACTATCAAGCTATCTTGTTCATAAGGAACCACTTCAATTTCAAGTTTTTCAAACTCTAGTCACAGTTCTTTCTGATCTGTGAGTGAACAGGCAAGATTCCCCACATTCTTTCTACTAAGTGCATCTGCTACAGTATTGGCTTTACTCAGATAATAGTGAATTTGCAAGTCATAGTCTTTGATTAGTTTAAGCCATCGTCTTTGATGCATGCTCAACTCTTTCTGTGTGAAGAAGTATTTCAAGCTCTTATGATCTGTGTACACTTCACATTTGGTCCCATACAAATAGTGATGCCATATTTTTAATGCAAACACAACTGCAATAAGTTCTAGGTCGTGTGTAGGGTAGTTCTTTTCGTGTAGTCTCAATTATCGAGAGGCATATGCAATCACCCTACCATTCTGTATTAAAACACAATCCAAGCCCTTATAAGATGCATCACTAAAGATCACAAAACCTTCAGTACTTAAGGGAATAGTAAGGATTGGGGTTGTAGTCAGTCTTGTCTTCAACTCTTGAAAGGCTGTTTCTCTCTAATTCGTCCACTCAAATAGTTTCCATTTTTGAGTCAACTGAGTCAATGGCACAGCAATTTTTTAAAAGTCTCTAACAAATCTTCGATAATACCCTACCAATCCCATAAAACTACGAACTTCTGATACATTAGTAGGGGTAGGCCAACTAATAATTGCTTCAATTTTATGAGGATCCACAGATATACCATCCTTATTAATGATGTGCCCCAAAAACGCAATTTCATCAAGCCAAAATTCACACTTTTTGAATTTCCCATGCAACTGTTTTTCTCTAAGTGTTTGAAGAGTTAGTTTCAAATGTCGTTCATGCTCATCTTTATCTTTCGAATAAATCAAGATGTCATCAATGAATACAACAACAAAGTCGTCCAGGAAAGGTTTGAAAATTTTGTTCATTAAATCCATAAATGCTGTGGGCACATTTGTAACTCCAAAAGGCATGACTAAAAACTCATAATGCCCATACCTGGTCCGGAAGGAGGTCTTTTCAATGTCCTCAGCCTTAACCTTCAGTTGATGATATCCTGATCTCAAGTCAATTTTTGAAAATATCTGTGCCCCCTGCAACTGATCAAACAGGTCATCAATATGCAGCAAAGGATATTTATTTTTCACCGTTACCTTATTGAGCTCTCGGTAATCAATGCATAATCGAAGAGTGTTGTCTTTCTTTCTCACAAAAAGTACCGGTGCACCCCATGTTGATGTACTCGGTCTGATAAACCCTTTATCAAGCAATTCCTGCAACTGAGTTTTCAATTCTTTCATTTTAGTGGTAGACATACGGTAGGGAGTTTTAGAAATTGGTTGAGTTCCCGGTATTACATCAATTGTAAATTCAATCTCTCTATCAACAAGTTGGCTGGGTAATTCATCCGGAAACACATCAGGAAATCTCTCACCACTGGTATATTGTTTAGAGTAATGTTTATGGTTGGTTCAGTTATCACACTACACAAATACCCTTGACAACCCTTATTTATTAGTTTTCGGGCTTTCATGGTAGATATGAGGTACGGCGGAGGAACTACCACTTTCCCTTCAAAATAAAATTCATCTTGTCTGGGAGGTCGGAATATTGCTCATTTCAAAGCACAATCAATAGTTGCATAGTATTTAGCTAGCCAATCCATACCCAAAACAACATCAAAATGTCTCATGTCTAAAGGTATTAAATTAGCATACAAAACAGCATTCCCGAGAAATAATTCTCATGCAACAAATACAGTTGAACATAGCATGGATCCCCCCGTAGGTAATGCAACACATAATACATAGCTCAATGCTTTCATAGGTCTATTCAAAGTTTCGGCAAAAACCACGAAAACAAACGAATGTGTAGATCCTAAATCAATTAAAGCATAAGTAGGTTTACCACAAATAGAGATTGTACCTGACACTACTGCCTCGGTATTTTGAGTGTCTCCCGAGATCAATGCAAAGACTCTTTCTTACCTCTATTCATTTCTTGTGGTAGACGATGTTGTAGCTGGTTTTGTTGTAGGAACTGATCCAATCGATCTTGTGGCACCTCGGTTACCATCCTAATGTGACTGTATGCAATCTTTCGCCATGTGTCCTACTTTTCCACACTGGTAACAAGCCCCCACAGTGCGATAGCAAACACCCCGATGCTTCTTTCCACAAACGGTGCAAGTAGGTGTTGAGTTGCCACTTTAGGTTGACCCTGAATTACTAAAATCCCCAGACTTCAACTTCTTATTCATTGATGGTGTCCCTTTATTGAAATTATGTCTCCTGCCCTTCCATTCAAAGTTCTGCTTACAATTGGCCACATTTCTCTCTGCTATTAGTGCCCTGTCAACTACATCCACATATGTCGATAATTTGAGCACATTGATTTTATCCAAAATTGGGTCGCGTAAACCTCCCTCAAACTGTCTAGCTTTCTTGTAGTCCGTATCTACCATGTGGGGTACGAAGCGAGCTAATTCTGTAAACTGAGCCTCATATTCAGCAATTGATTTATTTCCTTGCTTGAGTTCCATGAATTTAGCTCTCTTTCTGTCCCGCACACATTGTGAAGAGTATTTCTCATAAAAGATTTCTAGGAAATAGGCCCAAGTAACGTCTCGGTTCTCATCTCAAACCAACATCCACCGACGTCTTGCATCATCTTCTAATGTGAATGCAGCTAGTTGTACCTTCTGAGCTTCGGTACATGGGAACACTTCAAACAAATTTTCAATTCCTAAGACCCAAGCTTTGGCTTTCAACGGTTCAATTCTTCCATGAAACAGTGGTGGCTTCATCTTTTTAAATTCTCTGGTCAAAGCAATAGTATTACTCTCTGGCTGGCACCCTGGGACTGGAGGTGGCACAGGCATTGGAGGTGGGGTTGGTGGTTGTTGTTGTTGTTGCCACTGCTGTTGTTGCCTTATGGCTTCAGCCATATCTTGCATCATTCATTCCATTCTATCCAATCTTGAAGAGGTTGCCTCCTCTAGCTTATCTCCCCTTGTCCTCACCATATTCTATATAAAACTTGTATTATGATAAACACAACAAATAAAATATGTCCACATGTACAAATTCAAAACATGTAATCATACAATTTATCTCACTCTAATATTTAATTACACATGAATGCAATCCTGAAGTCTCTTCTAGACTCTCTATAGCTCAACGGACAAGTGAGTAAGATATAACTCGTGCTCTGTGTAGACACCCCATTTTTTACCGACCTTAAGACTTTGACGTCATCATTTGTGTACGCAATGATTGCGCATGTTTGTGCTTGTTTCGAGCGCTCGAGGATCTCGGCTGAGTGCCTTGTCTTTGAGCCTCTTAACAGTTTGTGTTTTGGCCTTGGTTTTTGGGCCAAACTTTGTTGTCTCTTGCCTAGGGGGGGAGAGGACCTTGTCGGCAACTTTTCTCCCTTTTAGGCCACTTGGAGTGGCCGGTCGGCTAAATGAAGTGGCCGGCCGGCCACCTTAACTGGCTAGCAGCCACTTTTTCTCCTTTTTAGATATTTTCAATTTTTTTGAGCCAGCTGTGACTCACGGAAACTCATCCTCCATACATGTGTATGAAGGGATCAAGCAAGCCTTTTTGCTTGCTTGCTCTATATAAGGGGAGCTCCATCCCCTTATTTGAGGGTTCAAATTTTCCAGAGCAAAAATCTCCCACTCTCTCTAGAATTCTCACTTTCTTTCTATATTGTGCTATTTTGAGCCTTAAAGTGTGTTTTCTTCACACATTTGCACTAAGACACCTAGTTAAACACCTTCACTTTGGAGCTGAGATCCATTGGAGCTTCATTTGAGGTCTTTGGATTGTTTTTGGTTCAAAATTGTTGCTAAAGTTACCTCATTGCTGTTGTGCTTCAAGGGTAAGGCACTTGTCCCTTTCAAAGCTTTGTTTTGATTAATAGCTTGACCACC